CCCGAACTTCCCCTTGCCCCCAGGCACCTTGGGCAGCACCGCCAGGCCGGGTAGACCCCATGCGGAGGCCCAGCGCACGCTCTAGGGGGCAGCAGCAAGCAGAGGCATGCAGGTGGACTCGGAGGCGGCCCCATCAACTCCACGTGGTGGTGCTCCAAAGGCTTGCAGGGCAGCCGGCGCTCCAGGGCCCAATCCCACTGCCTGGGCCCAGGCCTAGCTCCCATAATCCCAGGGCTGCACTAAGGTAACAATGATACATCCTCAGCTGCCATACAGCCTCTTCCCATGGTACAAGTAGGGTGTCTGAGGAAGAGTGCGAAGTGTAGTTACATGTTGGCACAGGCTTCCTCTCAATGCTAGGCAAAATGAGCTCTGCCCACTCACTTGGACTTGAGTGTCCAGCAAGCTGGTAGAATGAACATCTCAAGAGGGATCCCAAATGTGTGCCCCAGGGCCATATTCAAGCTCTTGGCCTTAGAATAGCCAGAGAGCAGCACTGAGGAGGTTTAGGGGACACTCGTAGTTACCTGGAGCTACTCCTGAGCAATCCACTCTACCTTACAGCTAGTTTCTGATGCACTCAAGCAGGAGTGACTGGACAGCCCTGAGGGCAGGAACAAAGCCATACAGATATGGGTACTGAGAACATCTACATTCAGGATATGCCTAGTAGGCAGAGCAGCCCTTTGGAAGTTCCAAGGACCTGTGTCAGATAGGTATAGTGTTTATAATAAAGTACCAGTCCTGAAGCTGCTCAAAACTGTGCCCCAGGCCCCATGCTGCCTCAAGAGAGCAGGAAAGCAGTATTCAACAATTCTTGACTTCTGATATTTAAATCTACATTCAGAGTATCCTGAGCAGATCAACCGTCAGGGCCAACCCACGTATCAATGTCAAAAGGCTTGTATCCTAAGAGCTACGCCACTGAACTTTTCAACCATAGGCTTTTTTGCTCAGATCAAAACAGGCCATTTACTAGCTTGTGAAAAAACTCCCACCTGTGGACTTTGTTTACTGTCAGTACAAGTCAGAACCAATTCAGGCAGTGGTGAGAGGAAACGAATATGCAAAATCAGAATTCACAGATCTGATTCCGGACCCTGCCACTGGCTAACTGTGTAACAGCAGACATGTTACTTAAAGACCAACTCCTAAAGCAGACAAGTGCAATTACACACACAGAAGGGATAGTTACACACTCAGGCTATTTCTGCTATTCCCACATCATTTAACTGTAAGAACGCACAGGCATTCAGACAGTTTTCCAATTTGGACACAGAGGAGGCGAGCACCTGCATTTGCAATTTAAGTACACAGATTTGTAACTGTAATTGTGATGCCTAATTTAAACAGAATAAATCAAGGCCAGTAAGGATGCATCTCCCACTGAAATCAAGGCACATTTGGCCATTGCCAGATACAGGAGTTGTATGAAGTTTTTCACTTGATCTAATCTCACCAATGTGCAAATCAGCTTAGCAACAACCATGACTGCTACTTGTCCCTCACTGGAGTATTGTAACACTTAATACTCATAAAGCATCTGGCAATCCCTGGATGAAGGGCACTTTATTAACATATTTCTATTTCAGTTCTATAAAACTATATTGTTATGGAAAGCGGTAACATTAGTGGCAATGTCTTAAAATTGGCTAAAGTACTCAAGATGATCCAATTAGTACATACTATGAAAAAGTGTCACCAGATCTGATGCAAGGACTTACATTAATTCCCAGCTGCTGCAGGGCCATGAGAATCACATCATTTGCTGTATCAGCATTGGTTACAGTTAATGTTTTTGACTGTGGAAGAGAAAAGGAGAAGAGAAAATTGGCATTAAAACTACAGAGTTTGCAAAGAACAATTCCCAATAACTTGACTAGCAACCCATTAGTCAGTAGCAAAACTCTGTGTGTATAGGATGCACAGCTAAGACCTTGGCTGATAAACCAGATATGCTCTGTTGAGAAAAGCCAGCCGTCAGGTCAATTTGTTTATTATGTACCAGAACAAGCTCCTAACCATCTCCCCACCCAAGCACCCCATAGTAGAGGGGCAAATCGGTTATCATTCCTGACATGGGAACCCCGGCATTGAAACATGCAGCTGAATTGGCCACTAAGAATTGCTCTTAAACTGATCGCATGACAAATAAAAGATTAATTGGGGTATGTGAATGGTCTTTCAAAAGGAGTGGGGTATTTCAGACTGAACACAATGATTGTGTTTGCTGGAAAAAGTGGTGAGCACACTGACATTTAATAACTCACTTTTTTTCTGAAGATTTAACTAGAGGATAATTACACTGATCAAGTCTCTGTCTTTTGCTACGTTTATTTATTTATTTATTTTAACATATATGCATGAAAGTTAAGTTTGGTTCGACAGGAGCAACACGTCACCTTAAGAATTCCCACCCAGCCATATTTTTACTCCTGTAATACCCTCCAAATCTATTGATCAGCAATATAAAAATCTCCCCACTATACGCACTATTCCTTAAACAGGCTGAGGAGTGAAAACATAACCTTGAGGAGGAGGTAAAGTGGTTTGGCCATAGTTGAAGCCCTTCTCTGTATGTCCTGCTTTGTTAAGTATGGCACTCTGCAAGACTTCCTTTGTATCACTGTCTGCCCCATACTAATGATATTCCTACTTTCTTGAGAGCATCTAGCATGTTGCCATGACAGTGACCCTTAACCTTATTGTTACTTCCTCCCTTCTACCTATTCACAACCAAGTAAATTTATATGAAAAAAAAATATTTTCAAGACACTGGCTAAGAAATAATTAATTAACCTTTGACATCAACAGAAAAATGCAGAAGTGGTACTGCCACCATTTTAAGGAGCTTGGGAGAGAAGGGAACACAAAACATCAGGGGTGTCTGTACATGTACATTGAGGCTGCTCCGACATGCTGCAATTACAGTGCATTGCAGCCAATTTGATTAACTGAGCCTGCTGGAGCGTAGTAATTACCATGCTCCAGCAGATTCCAGTGTCATGTGTATCAGCATCCCCGCACTGAAAAATGGCAGTGGGGGCGCTTTAACTAAAGCTTGTTTAATGAGTTTTAGTTAAAGCACCCCACCGCCATTTTTCAGTGCAAGGAAGCTGATACATATGATGCTCCAGGCACTTTAATTAGAGTGGTTCGTGTAGCCGCTCTAATTAAAGCATCCACCCCACTCTCTCCCCTGAAGCTTGTGTATAAATGCCCCAAGTGGCCCAACATAATAGATTTCAAAGCCAGGATTTGAACATTTGGCTTTCAGTCATGTGACTCAGTTTGCTATACTCTGTTGCTCTATATAATATTGATATATTATATCAATTTTTAATTGGAAGCAGGACTTTCAGGTAAAAACTAACCCATAACATTTTGCTTTTAACAAAACATTTGAAATGGCCTTCTGTGCGAGTCCCTAAATATAACGAACTGCTATGGCAATCAAAGTAAAGTAGCGAGAATACTGTAGATTTTACTTCAGGACATAGATGAATGCTCATACCATAAAAAATTTAATATTTCCCCTAAGCAATGACATCTGGCACTCAGGAGTAGGTCAGCACATTTGCATAAGTTTTGCTTTTAGCTACAATATAATAAAATGTTTTGTGTTGCCTGCTCCCCCTGCTTCTAAAATGAGTTGATTCCCTAGGATCTCAAGCTGCTGCAGTACAACAGGGATGATAGTGTCATAAAAACTACTGAGATTATGAAATTTCCATCTGATACTCCTCTGCCTCATCACTTATACCTAGACTAGCATATTTTACTTTTAGGACTATTAGTCTCAAGAAGACTGAATTTGGCTTATGAATTCATTCTAACTAGGAAATGATGCAGCTGCAGGGGACAAGCACTCAAAAGATTTTCAGATGCTTTTTCAGAAATAACTTGATCCACCCAAACTGCTACTGCTCTCATGACTGTTTAACAGTTCTTTTACCAGCTCAACAATTCTGACTGTCACCTATCTATAGGAGCATGGTTTCTGGAGGAATCCCTCATGTTTGGACTTCTTCAGATACAGATTGCTTCTTCTTGGAAAAGAGCCTCCTAAAGGTACTGAGAAAGGTCCCAATTTTCAAGAAAGTGAGGAAGGAGGACCCAAGTAACTATAGGCCTGTAAGCCTCACCTCAGTGCTCAGGAAGATCTTGGAGAGAATCATTAAGGAGCACATCTGTGGGGGGCCTGCAGGGGAGAGCATACTCAGGGGCAATCAGCATGGGTTCATCAAAGGCAGGTCCTGCCTGACCAACCTGATTGCCTTTTATGACCAAGTAACTAAATCCGTGGATGATTGTGTCGCCATGGACATAGTCTCTCTAGACTTTAAGAAGGCCTTTGACACTGTCTCTCACCCCAGCCTCATCAATAAATTAAGCGACTGTGGCATTGATGCCTACACAGTTGGATGGGTAAAAAATTGGCTGATGAGGCACACCCAGAGAGCAGTGGTGGACAGGTTGTACTCAACCTGGCAAGATGTGAGCAGTGGGGTAACCCAGGGCTTGGTCCTTGGGCCTGCACTGTTTAACATCTTCATCAGCGACTTGGACAAAGGTGTGGAAAGCATGCTGTCCAAGTTTGCTGATGACACTAAGATGTGGGGCGAGGTGGACACACTTGAAGGGAGAGAGAGGCTGCAACTAGATTTAGACAGACTACGAAAGTGGGCAGACGAGAATAGGATGGGGTTCAACGTAGATAAATGCAGGGTGCTGCACCTTGGGAGAAGGAATCCACAGCATACATACAGGCTGGGGAGTTCCCCTCTTGATAGCACAGAGGCAGAAAGGGAACTTGGAGTCGTTATTGACTCCAAGATGAACATGAGCTGCCAATGCCAGATCGCAGCCAGCAAGGCCAGCCATACCCTGTCGTTCAT